CCGTACAGTACCAGAGACCTTCTGGAAGCCTGGAGACTCCAAACTCTTTCTTCCCATTTCAGGCCCCTTTCTCTCTTCCTTGCTCTGCTGTCTCACTGCAATCCTCCATGGACATTTTGTCCATGCAAATAGCTCTTATCAACTCTCGAGTACTCAGCATTTCAATCCATCCACCCCCAGACAGTTCACTTCATTTCAACTCACTTTTTTCTGTGTTTTCACGGTCAGTCAGCCAGAAAACCAATTATTCACCTCCCTTTATCACCTGAATGAAAGGGAGAGGGGTTAAGGCCTGCAGTGATACTATAGTCTCACTCCAGCAACCCTAGAGTCCTTTTTGGTAACGCAGCATCAGACCTCACCTCCTGCAATGGTCCATTACCGTAGAATCGCTGTATCGCTTACTGTCTTCATCTTGTTGAAGAGCCAAAATAAATTATCATGGCATTTGCGTCTTTATCCCTCAAAAAGTGCAGCAAATTCGGGATATGTGAATGTGTGACCCAATTTCTCCAAGTACTCTGTCACCCTGCTGAAGGGGAGGAAAAATGGGTTTGACTGTGAGAGACACAGCGACAAGACACAATTCACGAACAAATTTGGAGAAAACAGCTCAGCGAAAACGCCTGCCTCAGCTCCAAGATCACAGGAGGATTGATGGATTTATACACTCACAGGCAGAATAGTCAATTATTCTCACGGGTGAAATGGAAATTGGACGTTGTGACTTTCCCTCCCGCATCTCCGACATGAAAGGAAATAGCCATCTTTTGCTTGTTGCTAGTTTGATAGTGTAGTTTCTTTGGGGTTTTCAGAGTCTCGCCAGCTTGATTATGCCGTGCTTCCGCAACAGACGTGCGAGATTAGTTGGTTCTTCCGTACTGAGTCGGAGCCTAACTCCAGGCAGCGGACCGGAGACGTCCATATGCAAGGTGTTCCATTAATCATACAACACAAACTCCACTGAAGGGCAGTGCCAAGGAGGTGGATTGCGTCTGTTGGCCCCCTTTGGCCCGGCGGTTGGCGAACCCCATGGGGGAGACGAGTCTGTCACAAAGGGGGCACGTTGTGTCCTAGCTCAGCACTTAAACACACTTCTTGGTGCCCTTGAAAAATGCAAGCCAACTTTGTGACAGGAAAAATTTGGTTTAATAAATGGTGGGAAGAGTAAACATCAGAGCTTAGATTGATTATGCGCTTGAGGAGACTAAACCAGTGCTGTTGTTTCCACTGAAACAAACATCTTTGCTCTTTTGTCAGAGGCCATAACTTATCATTGGCTTGCGCAGATTATTTTCTTGACCTGAGGATGTGTGCCTGCTCGTGTGGGGTGGGGGAAGAACAGACAGACGCCGAAGCCGCCGCAGCATTGTGTGATTGGGGTCTTTCTCTCTCGTTCTCTGAGGACAGAGAGTGATTGATCTAAAAAGTGTCTGAGTCCTGGTGCGGCAACTGTAAATAACCTGAAACTCATCTTTATTCAGACCTCTCCACCTACGTATTGACCCAAGCACTGCACAAAATCGAGCACTGCAGCATCGTCCCTTTATGGACATAACACAGTCCCCGTATGAGCAGACCTGTCAATATTTTAGTAATGACATTATAATCTAAAATTGTGACCTCTCTTCCTGTGGGGCAAGTCAATTACGAGGGATTCATATCTGTTTGAATGGTATGCTTTTATGTTTAGAGCAATCTTTTTTCTTTTTTTTTTCCAAATCAACAAATCAAAGCGTTGCATCCTGAAAGTCTCATTACTTTCCTTTCCCCAGCAAATCTTCAGTTACTTCAAAGGCTTATTTTATAGAAGTGAAATGTCAAGCAGCTCAAATAGAAGGGAGCCCTCTGCTGTTTGTCAAGAGTTACTGCTTTGCCACCTTCTAGTTTTCTCTTACACAAGACAGCTACAGTTAGTCAGCTTCAGCTATACACTTCAGTGTCAGTTATCACTTTAAAAATGGATATCTGATTCAGCAAATGCAGGTCTTGGCCAAAGCATTTACTTTTAACATGCTACACCAAATAAACTGGCTTCCTGGAATTCAGCACCACCATAAAGTGAACAGCTCCCTGAGTCGTGTGCACTCTCTTTCAGCAGCCCTCCCCTCGTCCAGCGGACAGCTCCTTTACCACTGTGAGTGAATAGGCTCTTATTTATAGAGCACAGCTACTTTATGATGTCTTTTGAAACACTTGTCATCGTAGTCCAGCAAAGACCAGGCTCCGGCTTGCAGGTTTTGTCAATGGAATCACATTTTCTGGAGGGAGCAGATAGCTAAAAATTGATCCACCAACTTTTATGCTCAGGCAGCAAATTACACATAACAGCCACAAATCACAAAGCTATTTCACTCCATTTATGAGCAGTTAATGCTATTTAGTAATGGGAGCGAATTTCAGCCAAGTGTGCAGAAAAAAAGTTGCAATTGTGTGTTTTATTTCTTGGCCTTAATTTGAGCCAATGATCAGCTATTAAGTGGCCTGACGGCTCGCAGGGTTTCGCTCACAGGTGGTGCTATAAATAATGCATGGACTGTAACATATAGAAGTTGAAGTGCTCTCTCTTCATTCTGACACAGTAGCTTTTGAACTGATTTTTATGCAGTCTGTCAAACTTGAATGTCTCAACTTAATGTTACAATAATCTGTTTCTAAATTAGTATTCATAGTGCGTGCTAGCCAGCTCTGTCTGGGTTTCAGTTCAAATATTATTGTTGCACTTATTATGAATGGCAAAGTAAATCTACCGACTTCAAAACTTGCTTTTCTAATAGATATTGCCACAAAGCAAGTGTTTAAAGTAACTATCATATTTAATCATCTCCGCAATTCACACCGTTCCCACCTTGTTCGCCCGTGCTGTTGTTTTGCATCTATTTCGGAAGTCCCCCGGAGCTTTGCGAAATTTTCAAGTTAAAAGGTGTTTTATTATTAATGAAACTTTGGAAACTTCTCTTTGGAAAGTCTCTTCTCTTACGCACAAATCTAAAAATGAACCCTCTGATGCCAGAAGACCTATAAATATTTTGGTGAGGATATCAGGACAGCTGCAGTTGCCAAAACAAGCTCCATAACATCATCTAAAGCGCCCCACATCTGACTTTCAACCCCAACTTTGCTCAGTCAATCTCAGGCCATGACATTGTGCACAGATAACCCTGTGCCCATTCTGTTTGCTTGCTAATACATAATTCATTTTCAGAAAACACTGTGTTGGTGAGCTATGAATGGCTGCGTGAGCTGTGTTTCAGAAATGAGCCCAGGTGGAAAATCGAAAAGAATGGAAATGGGAGTTTTTTTTGCATAAAAGAAGACATTTTGTGGTGGGTGAAGAAAGAGTTGACGGTGTACTGCATCTGTTATGAGTAAGGCTGGCAATGTAGCCTTCACGTGACCAATTTTATTCCCATGCAGTTTACGTGGCATCCATTAAGTGGGCTTATCAATATTTATACGTCTGGAGCTAAAAGAAGAGAGGACGGGGAGTCAAAGGTGAATCGAAACCCATCAAGTAGAATCCCACATGCCTTTACATGCATCTCTAATAGACAGCTTTGGTGCCTTAGTATGAATTAAGTAAATGGCATATCAAGTGGCAGACTGCTTGTATCTGTTGTGCAGTTTTAGACTGAAGCCTTGCTATTATTGACCTCTGTACTGTTCTTCTGGGATACATTAATATTCTGCTCCTCCCATTTTGTCACACGCCTGATCCAATCTCTGTGTTTAATGAGCCATTGCTCTCGCTCTCTGGATTTGATCTAAGTGTACAGACAACGGCTATGTGTTGCTGTCTCCCATAATCCTTTGCAGATTTTTAAGAGGACTGAGATGAAATTGAGGTCTAGAAATCTAATCAAAACTGTTATTATAACAAAAAACAAAGAAACAAACAAAAAACACCGTTATCAGTAAGGTATAACCAAAAATGGTTGTATTTATTTTCTTTCTTTCTTCCCTTTTTTAAAAAAATTTTTTTTATATAGAAAACCGGTAGTTGCAGAATAAATGATTGGCAGTTGCTGGACAAGGGAGGAGCCACAGTCTCAAAGATGAGTCCTCTCCATTATCATAAACTACCTCCGCCCACCCCACTGTGGATCTCTCTCTAGCTCGCTCGCTCACTCTCTCTCTCTCTCTCTCTCTCTCTCTCTCTCTTTCCTCTGTTAATTCAGTTCTGGAAAGCGCCGGGTACTGATGCTGCTGCTCCTGTAGTCGCATCTATCCTGGGGGCCTCCTCCCACTCATCACAGCTCGAAAAAGGAACCACACAGGGCGTGGCTAAGCCCTGCAACAGCGTCCGATTGGAAGATCGTGTCGTGGGGCGGACCAAAGTCAGTCTACTTAAAAATGGACACAAAGCCCTCGTGGCTCGCTCGCTCACTCTCTCTCTCTCTCTCTCTCTCTCTCTCTCTCTCTTTCCTCTGTTAATTCAGTTCTGGAAAGCGCCGGGTACTGATGCTGCTGCTCCTGTAGTCGCATCTATCCTGGGGGCCTCCTCCCACTCATCACAGCTCGAGAATCCGCATGTAGAGCCGCTCGGTCTCTGTCGCAGAAAAGTCTCCGCAGTACTGCATCGGAATAAGGGCTCAGTGCAAAAAAATCTTCTTCAGCTGTATTCGTGGCTGTGAGTGTGGCGCTTTTCTGCATCAGCGCAAAGGAAGTTCTGTTCAGTCGTGCGGTGGGTGATGCACTGAGATGCGTCGTGTTTAGCGCACGGAACCCCGATTTATTCGCCTAGACGGGAGAATAGAAAACCCAACAGTGAATGAGGCGCATTTTAACTTTGTCTGATATTGATTCGGATTTGCTTGGGAGATCTTGAGCATCAGGATGTTTTGACGGGCGCTCTCCAAACGGGTTACTGAAGATTTCGCCTCCAAAAGAAGCGCATCCGAGGCAAAAAAAAAAAAAAAAGCATCGGCTGACAGTTTGAAAGGAGGAAAAGCAGCCTCTCTGCACAGGATTTAAAACTACCGTCGCCGCTTCGGCATCTTTCTGAACCTAAAGAGGATAGATTTTAACAGAGGGAGAGATGAAAGTTTTTCCGGCAGTATTGTTTCTGATCACATTTTGGAGTCTGGAGTGGGAGCCTGTGCTTCCCGATTCAATTATTCACATTGGTAAGTTCAGATCTCGTTTCATTCAGACTCGTTTCCACGTTGAGAAGATCTGTGCATTGTCGTGCAATTCGTTAAGATGTTGCATCTATCGAGTTTCGCGTTGAAGCGGATGCGTAGATGCCTTTAAATAAGGTTGCGACTGTAATATCGGGTTAGAGAGATGAAGATATCCATCTGTCCTCATCAATGCGTCCATTATGTATACGATGGGTGAGAACAGGTGGTTTGACTGGAAGCGTTTCCTCGCAACGCCGCATTGTATGCGCGCCGCGTTATGACATTGTTTAAAAAAACACAAACTTGGATATGCAGAGATCAAGAGAGTTGGTAATACTCTTCGTAAAAGGGCTGAACGAACGCGCACATGCGCGTGCATGCTTTAGCGATGGGTACGAGGATTGGCACTGCGCGCGGGATCGGATAGGGTCCAAGAGAGGTCTTAAATCAGAGCTGTAAATGAGAGGGTTCCTCCGAGGGGCCACTGTGTGGAGGTGGAGGCAGGGGTGTTGGGGATTTGGCAGGAGTCAATTTGGCGTGGGAGCATGCGCGTGTTTAATTTAATTAAGGCTTGATGCACTAAACAAATAAATATTGTAGCGCATGCGTTTCTGGCTAGGTAACGTGTGCATGCCTGAAAGTTGGTTAAATAAGTCACGCATTATGCAGGCATGAAGAAAACATCCACAAATGAACCATTTAGGCTACAAACAAGAGTTGAAATGGCCAATGTCTGTACAATTATGTGGCTAACATTGAGTTTGGGTGTAGTGGTATGTCGGAAAAAATAAAACAATATAATATATAAAATATATAGGCTATATAAACAAGGCAGTAGGCTATGTCGATTTACAGTAGCAACTGTTGAGTAAAAAGTTTGAATTGGCTTAGAATTTGTGGAGTGTGGTTCGTTTATTTACAAAGGTTATTTTCTTTTTGTATTCTGTCATTGAGTTAATATCATGCCTTTGTTTTAGTGTTATTTGTGTTTGTATGAGAAGCACTATGCTCTGTTTGTTGATTGGTCACAGTTGATGGAGACGCCAGTTGCAATGATCTTTAAGTCATCACATGACCTTCCATTGTACCATCTACCACTCGTAACAAACATTGTAAGAGTTTAAGTAGGTTGATATATTAAACTTATATCGTTTAATGATATTTACTTGCAGTTAAGACATGTAATCCATTCACTAAAAAACATACTGTATGGTAATACGTGTAACTGTATTTTCATTTATCTAGTATTACTAGCCTATTGACGGCAAAGATCTGGCAAAGGCAGCTGCCAATTTTTTATTTTTTTAATTTAACATTTTCTATACCATGTAGTATGTATACTAACCATCTGATCGACGCACTTTGTAATAATTTCATGGAAAAAAATATTTTTACTTAATCTAGTGCATATATCTACCATAGCAAACAGGTGGATATTCAGGACATTCAGGATATTTGATCTTAATCCAGAATTGTCACATATGGTCCTCTACCTTTATGGGGAACAATAGACACAGAAGCAGATGAATATTTGTTCATGCCTTCTCTTATACACCGTACAATGCTTTTGCGTGTTTCAGAGGGACTCTAGACATGCGTTGAGAATAGACCGTTTTGCCTGTCATTAGTAATGCCCGCCTAATCTTTCTCTGCAATAGCTTGGTGAAAACGTGACGTCATTTGAATGCGAAAACGGCATCGTTTCTTTTCGGAGAGACGACTGATGAATGCATTTTATCACACTCGCTTTACTTGAATGCAGAGGAGCCTTCTAATGATGTGCACACCAAGAGAAGTATCTCGTGCGCTGCATCAAAATGCTGCAGCTCCTTTAGGAGCCCATTGAGAAAGTCAGTGATTTATGTGGGTGGAAAGCCCAGAGTGTCCAGCAGTATGCGGGTGCACCTCCAAATGCGCCCTTTAGTACCGACCAAGAAGTGTCAGGAGACGGCATAGGTCAGCTTTGAAGTTGGGTCCAACCTAGAGATTGATGATTAGGTAATTATCACAACATTAGTACAGACGTTTGGGTTGCTTTGGCCAGTAGTCCTTGAGGAATTTTGATCAAGGTTCCTATCTCGCCACCTAGTGGCTGCGATTCTCTCCCCAAACTTGTACTGCTGGGGTATTCTAACCTTTTCAGGTTAAAGTGCCTTGGTAGATCGAGAGAACCATTATTACATATATTCTTTAAATTATATTTGTAAATAAACTGTGCAATATGACAATTATTGTTTAATCTAATATTTTTGTGAAGTAAATGTATAATACATTTAAAAAAATGTAATCATTTATTTACTTCACAAAAACTATTTTGAGATCAAACAATAATTGGCAGACCCCTGCCGCACCAACTGTGGACCCCCTGTTGTAGACCCCTGCTCTTTGCACATTCGTTTTGAAGGATATTTGCATTCTTCATCTTGTGTTTCAGCCATATAGTGATGCCTTCAAAGATACGCCATGCAATATTAATTTTTTTCCTCAGATGCACATTTTCAGACGTCTAATTGGTTGGGAGCTCATGATATAAATCTTGCAGTACCTGTTTCATTCGAATGAAGTCTACTCACCACCGTCTATGTTCACAATAGATGTAGAGTGTGGACTAGATTTTGTCTGCGACAGTTTCCATGGTGTGGATCGCCCTTATTCTCAGGAAGATTTGACATATTGAGAGCATGTCTGGGGCTCTTAGGGGATATCACAACACTCTCCACTGACAGTATATGTTTTCGGTCTGGCTGAAGCTTCTTTGTAATGTAGGTTGCGTGTATGACATTTATTGCGCAACTGAAGAGAATAGACGGGTTGCGTGTATGACATTTATTGCGCAACTGAAGAGAATAGACGGTGTGGGGGGGGGGGCTTTCCTCTGCACAGTTATGGTTAGTTACATGTTAAACTCTAAAGCTAGAGGAAATTGTAGAATATAATCCTGAGCGTTGCATTGTAGGTGGGACAGATGGGTAGTGCCATTTCGTTGGTCTATTTCTGGACCAAACTGCCGTGGCCCCCAGCCCAAGAACATGGTGATAATGAGATATGCTAGCCTGCAGACTATCCTTCATAGTGATGCTTAAGCGCTCTCTCTCTGTCCTTCTTTGTGGTCCTACAATATAAAATAGAGGTAATGAGGAGCGATACTTGTAAAGGTCTTGTAATTACAAGCCGTGCATTGAAATGTGTTTGTTTTGATTGGATGGCTGCATTGTGCCTGCTCAGGTGTTGTAACAGAATGAAAAGTTGAAATGCTAGATATAGAAGGCTTCTGAAGATGATTAGGTGATTAGTTTTAGACTGGGGTTATTATTGTGGCATTAGCAGAGTAAATCCTTATGTTTCAGTGGTAATTTTCTCAATTAAATGGCACGTTGTGCAACATTCTGAGTTTCGGATGTAGTTAGAAGAATAATTTCTGTAATTGGTAAGATGCCTGATATTGTACATAAGTACAAGAACAAAAATGCACCTTTCATTCTCAGTGGTGTCAAGAAGTTTCATGTAAGGGCATGGGTAATTAAGCTGACATGACCCTACTTTCGTTTATTTTGGCTGATGAAAGGAGTAATTGTATTGATAGCACAGTGAAGGTGTAACAAAATAAAGGTTGTCCTCTAGGGGTGCCACTTGCAACATTTGCATTTCTTACTCTGGAATTTGTCCCAGACCCATCAGGGAACTCTTGATCTTTTATGCTTCTAAATCACTAATCTGTGGTTTATTGAAACCCTGCAAAGATCATTTGGATTTTTGGATGAATAGCGGGGAATGATATTGGCACTTTTTCAGTTTCCCTCTCATAGTTTTTTAACATTTAATTGTCTGTTATCTCATAATGTCATGTGTATCATGGACAATATTCACAATCTAAGTAAAAAAGACAAAATAAAAAAATAAAAATAGCATTTACTATCAAACGTGCTTTATCTGAAAGAACTTGTGTGAATAATCTTGTCATAATAATAATAATAATAATAATAATAATAATCTTTATTTTTTAAATGTTTTTGGACAACGTTTCTTTTTCTCACTGAAGCTTCATTTATTTGATCAAAAATACAGTTAAAACAGCAATCAGAAATCACGCAAAATTCAGAAATCATTCTAATATGCTAATTTAGTGCAAAAAAACAGCACTTATTTGAAATATAAATCTTTTGTAGCATTATAAAAGTCTTTACTGTCACTTTTGATCAATTTAATTTAGGCTAATCTTGCTGAATAAAAGCATTAATTCTTAAAAACAAAAATCTTACTTCAATTGCTGCTTGGTTTATTCATGTTTTTAAATCTAGAGTCTTTAAAACCCCAAATATAATGATATTAAACTTTGAGGATGTGTAATGAATTGTGTTTACAGTTGGTTTTTTGTTTATCAGTTCTCATAAGATTAGGAAAAGTAACCTGATCTTCAGTGTATTTTTAAGATTAGAGCATTGAGCTTTCTCAAGCCCCAAACAGAACATGAGGGCTAATGGGGAGTTATTATTATGTTAGCAGAACACATGAGGAGAAAGTTTGCTTGAATGCGTCTGTCTTTGTGTGCTCTCGTTTGTTTCAGTCTTCCACATTACTTTGAAGTTTCGGGAGGATCTACCCGCTGTCATGAAATTTTGAGAACGTGAGGGACGTGTTTTTCCTCTTTTGTCTCATTGAATTCATGACACCAAGACGTTGAGTGATTTCCTGTGTGTTTAGCACAGAGGCTCCCAGTCGATTGCAATGCGGCGCTACGCTGAACACGTCAATCAAGCCTTGCTGTGGGCGTTATGGTTTGTTACAGTGTTGCAATTACAATACATGCGCTTGAAAAGAGTGTTTCGCCTCACTAACCGCTACTCGATCGTCCATAATATCCTCATGCAAATGTGAGGCTTGTATTGTAATAATGTCAGCTGAACACAAAAACAACACAAAAGTATGGGTGGCTCCTGACTAACAAATGCTGTTACTCGAAGAAAGACGTTTCATCTGTTGTAAGATTTATAAAACTCCTAGAA